GCGCTGTGCCTGTTCAAAGGTCTTGCACATGCACCTTGACTACTTTGTAAGTGCTTCCACTTCTCCCCCCCCCCCCCCCCTGAATTCTCACCCGCGTTACCCCCCATCTCAATACTGACCTGCCCAATCTACCCCTGACATCTCGCATAATCGCATACTTTTAATAATGACTGTTTGCTTAACATTAGACAAAAGAACTGTTGCTTAAATTCTTTTAATGTTTTAACGACCAGATTGGCCTAAGGGCGTGGGCCACGGATCACGACTACTTTTTAAAATATTGCATGTTGTTCATAGTGTTTTACCAGTATCTGGTAATTTATATATTTATAATAATATGTATTAATTAAAAAAAATATGTTTAAGTATGTCTATCAGTTATCTAGGTAGTACCTATAGTACAAGCGTTGCCAGTTTAGAATTAGAAAATGTTTTGTAAAAGTAAAAAGTAAAAGTAAAGTAGTAAACAACAAGAAAAAACACAAAAAGTAAGCAGAGTTCAGAGTTTTAAATGTCTGTCTCCCACAGTCCACACTAAGCCAGCCGTGACGCCATTTTCTTAACTCCACTATCACTTAAATTAAAGTCTAACCAAAGCTTTCGTTATCCCTTGTTCTCACAAGCACATACACAGGCACATCTCACATTATTCATCCGGTATGTACGTACCTTTCAAAATCCTGTTCCATCGTGATGAAAGTTACAGCTTCAGTAAACGCAGCAGTTGCTATCAAGAAGCACTGAACGATGGAAGCGTTCTGGGAACAAGCGCACGACACGTCAGGATCGCTCCGCAACCGAACTCAAAATGGCGTAGGTCGAGGAAAGTGTGAGGACCATCCATCCTCCACCCAACCACCCTCAAGTCAATAACCACCCCGCCCCCTAGCTCATAATCACTCCTTCCCCCCAATCACCCCCCCCCCCCCCCCCCCCCCCCCCCAATCTACCCACCCCGTCCCAATGACCTCCTACTACCCTTTCGACCAAACCCGCTCCTCCTCCCCCCTCTCCAATGACCCCATACCACCCTCTGGCCCAAACTTACTGCTCTCCCTTCCCCCTACAGTCCGATGCCACCCATTCTCCCCCTTCATCGGCCCATACGTCTATCTACCCCAGCCGGAAATCCGGAAAGAAATTAAATATTTTTAATAAGTAACAATCATAATATAAAAATCGTTCGTTATATATGTTCCGCAATAATCACTTATGGCACGCGATTTTACCTTCTGTAAACAGCGTTTTAATGGAAAATATTGACTCACTAGTAATCGTTTCTGTTAAGTTTTTCTAGAAATGTATAAACGGTGGTTCAAACTTTCTTTCATTGCACCACAAAAACATTACAAAAAAACCTTCTAAAATTAGCTTTTCGACGCATCGAGAACGGGGTATTAACTCGAATCACTAAATGAAAAAAAAAAAATTAAATTCCTAGAAATATGGCTAACAAAAGAACTCAATGCAAAACTTCCGACACGTCCATGTCGCACCGCGGCTAAACTCGCAACTAAAAATGCAAATGGCGCCGGGGAACCGGTGCCCTAGGCAGGAAATCGATGATCGCCCACTCTACACCCCTTCAGTTGCGCAGTCTCCAGATTCCACATTTAACTCTAGGCACAGTATTGATTGCTGCATCCTAGGACTTGTTTTCTCTCTCTTAACCAAACAACTCTCCACCCCTACGTCCAAGCCCAAGAATTAAATATGATGATATTTACATTGCTTTTTATTTGTTATATACACGATTTTTATATAAATGCAATTAAATGGGATAATGAATGTCTGAAAATGAAAATCCTTCCAACGAACAAAATAATCATCGTCATTTGTTTTTATGATTTTTAATTAATCCTCACCGTATGTAGGATAATGAGGAAAAATTACCAAAATAATTGATATTTTTTACTCACTAATATATACAATCATTTTCATTGATCGAGACTAAAATTGAGTAATGTTCAGTCAAAGCAAAGAGTATTTAATTATTTATGTAATAAACATTTTATTTTTATTTTAATAGGTCACAAAGTACTCGTAAGGTGGCGTAAGGCTGAATTTAAAGAAACTAAGAATGCACCTTGAAGAAAAAAAAAAATAAACTGAAATAAATTTCACGTCCTTTTTGACTTCAAGATACTAGGATATTTATTTACTGTTATTATATTTTTATGTTCATAAGACAAAAATTTATAGGTGCCTATAACTCTGTTTTCTCTTAGAGCAAACAATAAAAAGTGAACCAGGTGAAAACAAATGTAAAATTTTTTGTGTTTTTATTATTATTAAAAATTAGTGAGTCCTAATAATTGTTTTCGATAGTTTATGTGGAATTATTAATATGCGCATTTTGCTACAGCCCTCTTTGATTCACAGTACTTACCGAACTAAAGTCTTTACACGATTACAGGATCACAGCAAACTGCTTCGCGGCTACCCGGCGTTCAATGTCCAGAAACTCCAATTCAAGTAAAATCAATAACTATATATATATATATATATCGCTTCAAATGGATATTATATTTATGATCACTTTCTTTTAACGGTTGTTAATATGTTTCATATGTTTTAAAATTCACGTGGCACAAACTCTTTTATTAATTATACCATGAAGCACTTTTGAAACAAAGAAATTGAATTAATGACGATTGTCCCTGCACATCCGTACAGCTCCGCGACCGAACTTATACTGAAAACGGTGGCGCTAGGTTTCCCCGCTGTGAGTTACCTAGCTAACAAAACTGCGTAGCTCATATAGGAAGTCTATAATTTGCTTTATCTGCATTGCGGCAGACGGGCGGGCATGCGCCGTACCTCACCAACCTCACCCCAAGTGCAGCCGTAACGCTTGTGAACCCCGAAAGCAATACAGGGAGTGTTGCGCTAACCCATTCTCCTCCTCTCTCCCGGTATAACAAAGCCTCCACCTCACCTCATCCTCTCATCCATACGCCAGTAGATAACCTGCCACCTAATACCCCATCCCATTACATTGCCTCCCTTAATATGCCCACCCGCCGACACGTAGAAAGTTCGAGAAAGTTCACGCGAATACTGCAATGCGGCAATCTGGTGCCTGGATGCCTCCCGCGTAACCCCATCCCTCAGTTTCCCACTCGAAATGAGGTTGTAGGGTGGCGAACGCCTCCCCGTTTCCACGCCATTTCTAGAAATTTCTCGGCAATGCCGCATTGCGGATGATTGAGTGTCTCCCCCTTATTTATCCCATCCCACTACTTCCCACCCGTTATGGATCTGACCAGGCTGGGAGGACAACTCCCCCTTTCCACCCTGAGTCTGGAAATTTCCCACGAATAGCAATGCGGCTGTAGGGTAGGCACATGTACCCATCCCACTGCTTCGTCCCGAAACCTCCTCCTTTGTACTGCAATGCGGCATAGAGCTTTGCGCCTGCGCGATTTATTGATCCCGTCGTTAGATGAACATCCTGAACGCCCAGAACAAAGGATTTCTAGATGCTTCCATGCGATTCGTGCTTCAATTTATTATACATCCAGTAAGGCTTACGTTAATTAGGGTTCAAATATTTTTTTATTACTTTTTTATTTAATAAAAAAAATCTGCACTATGCAGTCTTTAAGATGCACACAGTATGTTGTAAAATATAATTCCACAGTATGTTAGTAAAATAGCGTTTAGTAACAAAAAGAACAAAGACTTCGTACACTGGGTATTAGGGCGTAGTCCACCACGCAACCTCACTGCGGATTGGCGGTCTTAACATAATTATCTTCGAAATACTTTTTTGTAATTATTTCGAAAATATGCAGGTTTCTCAAGATGTTTTCCTTTATCGCTGAGCATTTTTTTATGTGAAAAGTTGCCAAACGAGCAGACGGTTCACCTGATGGTAAGTGAATACCGCCGCCCATGGACATCTGCTACACCCGAGGGTTACAGATGCGTTGACAACCTTTTGAAAATTGGGCCTCGCTTACCTCACTCACCAGACGAAACGCGAAAGTATTTGTCATACTTCCACTTCTGCTTGAGGTCGTGATACTTACCCGGACGGGCCTGCCCATTCGTGCAACAGTCGAGGCTGCTGCGTGGCCCTACCACCGTTATGTGATAAGTCACCACGTGAAATGAACAATTTCATTGGTGCCTGCAGCGGGGATCGAACTCAGGTTGCTGGAGTATGTGAAATTAAAAGCGAGTGCCCGGAAAAAGAGCTATCATGGCACAAATATTAATTATATTTAATAAAGTACCAAGTGAATAAAACAATTCTTTTCGTTAAATATCTGAAGCCTTATAAATTCTTTTTCGTAATTTCTTTGCGTTTTTTATGGATAAATTTAATTAAATTATTGAGACTAAATTGAATAATGATAACTGTATATATATATCATCCCTGCCCTGGTAACGAAACAGAAACACCGCAATGCGTCATACAGAGCCACACCCTTGTCATCTGCGTCTGTGCGGAACTATTGATCCGATCATCAGATGCCGCCTCCTTTCAAACAAAGGATTTCTAGATTTTTCCTGCAAGATAATTGGCCTTCCCCACAACCTTTATATTCATATAATTATATCACTAAGCTTGACCTTCTGTCCACATTTGTGTCCCGAGGAATGGAAAGAAGTTCTAGTCTTCAGTCCAACCTATTGTTCGAGTTGAATACGTTAAATTTATGAGGAAATAGCATTTTGATTTTGAAGAAGAAATTAAATTCACCTTAAAATTCACACAATTTTGAGGAAAATGAATCAATGTAGAAATTTTTATTAAAATGTATTTTTTTATTTCTGTTCGTTTTTAAATTTTAAAAGGACATAAATCATTATTATTTATTTCATTTCTTATCAAATTTTAGAACGTTAAGTAAGAGTTTATCATAAACTTCGTTAAAGCTTTGTCAAGCCACCACAATTTATTCGACCAAGGCACAATGTACTATGAAATTTTTTGTTATTATAATTATAGGCTTATTTTCATATTCTATATGAAAATAAGCCTATAATTATAACAACAAAAAGTTTACGATTATATGGAGGGCTTTTTTTGATTATTCGGTATTTCTATGATAAAATTTGGCAGGCAAGCAAGCACTTTATCTGATATTGAGTGTTTAGCGCCACCTACGGATATCTGCGAAGCATAAAAGGTTGTAAATGCATTTGGATCCTTCAAAACGTCAAGACGTTTACTGCGCAACTATGAGCTTGACCAATAGTATGACATGAATTAGTTGTCTTAGACCAGACTTTTTATAAAGGGGGAAAACAACATATATACATGCGAAAAAAGTTTTGGTATTCCATTTTTAACATATAAAATAGATTTTTTAACAACAGATCTTAAAAGAATCGATTTAGCTTATACAGTAATAAGTAAAGAGCAAAACTTGATTTCTTTTAAAGAAATCAAAAGTTTCTTTAAAACTGCACGAAACTAGGAGTGTCATATTAGGCTTATTTAAAGATTAAAATTATGAAAAAGAAAGCTAAAGTTTGCATTCAATAAGTGTTACATATCATTACTAGCTGACCCGGCAAACGTTGTTTTGCCATATAAATTAAAAATGTTTGGGGCGGACCGACCTTAACATTTAAGGGAATGAAAAATAGATATTGTCTGATTCTCCACCCTAGCCGATATGCATACAAAATTTCACGAAAATCGGTGCAGCCGTTTCGGAGAAGTTCAATCACAAATACTGTGACATGAGAATTTTATATATTATATTTTCCAAGGAAGGTTGACGTCAGGCAAGTGGCCGGTCGTAAAGAACAAAGCCAATACCGCTTACAACATGATTCATATATAGTGCCTGCTCCACCTAGGTGGGATAAGGGCAGGGGGATGATAATGAAATGTTACATATGATATATATTGTACATATTTTACATATTACGTAAAATAAATTAAAGTCTATTATTTCTTTTTTACATTACGACTGTCAATGTCAAATATATAATTGATAGACTGCTGTCAAACTATCTGATGTTTAAGTTGTCAGACTATACAGATTATTGTCATTTTTAAACGTCAGATTGAATGACTACATCTAAAAAAAAACTATTCACTACATTTACAATTTAAATAATTACAGGCTAGTTTTCAGGCAGAAGAGGATTTTTTCGGGAAAATGCAAACATTGGTATATATTTCATTAAAATGGAAGGAATAGGGAAAGACATAATTGCTGCACTATTGAATTAGTTAAGTACCTGTAAATATAGTGTAAGATTTGGTAAATAAATGATTTCTAATCACTCCATTATAATTATAATTAATAATTTATATTTTATCTAATTAAAATTAAATTTTAAGCCAAGCAAGTAACGTAGGAAAGAGACAAATAATTTATTATGATTTATAGTCGAACCGTAAATAATAGGAAAAATAGTCATGCAGTATTAATTATATTAAAACGAAACATTCATTTTCATTCTTTAAAATAATTGTAAAGAACGGACACGGACTAGTAAAATAACACGACTCGGCACCACGAATGAGAAGTGTTAATAATAAAAATGATATAATGCCATCTTCTGATGTGAAATGGTGTTACAAATGTACTAAATCTTAAAAAAAATATCGAAAAAATAAAATATCATAGGTGTAACACATTTAACAGGTTGATTTATTACATTTTTGACGTGTTAAAATCTTTACTATCGGTTCACAAAACACAGTGTTAAACAATGTGGTAAATATTTATTAGTGTTGCCCGAAAAAAATGTATAATTTTTATTACTTTAAATGTAATCATTAATTATGTACTTTAAATTTAGATTCAAACAATTAACAAAAAATTAATGCAACGTAAACGACTTTTTTACAGTCTTTGTTTGAACTCTGTAGTATTTTACAAAATACTCTTGTACTTTTTTGTTATTCGCACATAAGAAATAATTAATTTTAAATTTTAAGAATGTTTTTGTCATTTCAATTAAATATTTTAAGTCAACTTCATGTGCCGTTTTTTTTTTAAATAAATTAATAAACTGGCTCTGGAATTTTGTGTTTTACAAAAAAAATATTTTTTCACTCTTCTGGTATCCCTCAAATCACTCAAATATAGATCTTAGGAGTGAACTATATACTAGGATAAATCGAATATCTGTTATGCCTGTTACTGTTACTTCAAAGTAACAGTGACAAATACCTGCTACAAAATAACAGCCTGTTATTTCATATTATATTGTGACAGTTTATGTAACTGTTACCATAGAGTAACATACTATAACAGCTGTACAATGCTAAGGTACTTCTAAACTTCCGGACTTCTCTTTCTAACAAAGCTATAAGACCGAATCAAGAAAGAGAAAGAGCTTGTGACAGTGACAGTTTTAATTAACAACTGTGACAAGTGTGTAACAGTTTTTATCCTCTTTCTAATTAAGATAACAGTCGTAAGCATGAATAAAGAAAAAAACGCTTGTGACAGCGTGTTAAGGAGCAATTTGTATGGAACTGGAACTGTTATTTAAGTTTGTTTTTAACAGGTACAGTCTGTTATCTCGAGATGCCTGTTATATTTATCTGTTACGATAAATACGCCTCACTCCTATAGATCATACGATGCTTCACTTTAGATATATCTGGTGTAGAGACCTGTTTTTTTAATAGTCCGTGAGAACAGCCTTTTAAATTTCATAATAATCAGTTATCTATTTATATATGAACATTGTGTAATATTACATATATAATTTGCACGTAATTATATCTTTACGTCTTTTTAAAAAATTCGGATGCTTATAAATGTAGGCTTTTTAGGTTGTTCTGCTTACGTTGTTCTCGTATGCATATCCAAAATAGCTTGTCTACGAAACAGGGCAGAATGATATCTATGTAAATATCATTTTACCATGTGTCTAATTGCTTAGCGGGATAACTCTAAGAAGTCCCAGTTTTTAGATACATGTTACTCACCTTTTATTACGACTGTATACAGTGGTAGGGCGATGCAACAGTGTTTACTGTTGCACGAATGGACAGATCCGTCCGAATAAGTACCATGATCACGGAAGACCGACGTAAAGTAGAAGTGTTACACTTCTGCGCATCGTCGGGTGAGTGAGGTAGCCAGGGCCCAATTTTATAAAGGTGGCATTTGCAACCTTGCGGGTATTGCAAATGTCCATGGGCGACAGGTATCACTTAACATCGCGTGAACCGCCAGCTTGTTGGTAACTCACATAAAAAAAAAAACATTAACCTTATACCTCTAAGTGGTATGCCAAAATGACTTGTGTATAAAAAGAGTATAATGTATTTAGTTCGTATAAGTAAAAAATTAAAGTGCATTAAGTGTCAAATGAATGCGATGTGAGCTTAATTAATTGAAATTAAGATTGGTCTCTTCTATTTATTTTTGCTCAGACCATTATTTGTAATAACTATGCAAAGAATAATTGTATTTTGATTGCACCCACGATGCCATCAGATGATTAGATTGCCATCAGATGATATTTTTAGCTCTGGGCTGTTGCGTCCAAAACAATTATCCATTGGTTGCAAATGGATCGATTCATTATTTGCTTCCCCAGATCAGATCTGGTGGTAGAATGGTATCCATAATTTAAAGCCTATTAATTCTCTTTTCAAAATCTGCAGAATCATTTTTTACGAAGGCCATGGATGAATAGTAAAATGTAAATATAAGTTTAAAAAAAATGTGTGCATTAGCATGATGTATCATTTATACGTAAGTCATCATATCATTCATACGCTTACCTTTACCAAATTCTCATACGCCGCCATGCCACCACCCTCGTTGAACTGGTCTCCACCCTAACGCTGGTTGTCGCAAGATATTTTGTTTTGTCGCAAAGCATTCGCCTTTAAAAATATATGCCATAATGATTTCGTTTTAAGATCAGGTTCCTCGTAACTATTTAGAGAAATCTTATGACAATAAGCCAGCAATCACAGAAGCTGCGATGGGAAGTATACAATTTGAGTATGATGCTTTGGCGGTGGGGGAAAACGGGAAAAACTATTTAATGAAATGCAGTAAGCATTTTATTAAATAGCTTTTTCTTAAATTATCCACATATTTCGCCTTATTTGGCATAAACTATATTCTTACGGTCTGCTTATCAAGATTATGTTATAATCTTTTTTAACGTAACGACATTGTAGCTTTATATCGATTAGGCAATAAGTTTTTCGCATTGCAAGCGTAGTATAATTTAAAGATCAGCGTGATTACTTTGTGGGTAAGTAGGTCCTCATATTATACAATTGGCAGTAAATTTTTCACTACGAGTTTGTTTTAGTTACTTTAGAAACCAGGCATATCTCGTTCATTTAAAGACATCAGACTCGTGCGCTTCAAAAGTGTTTTGGCTCGAACCCAACATATTTTGATGGGTGATATATATAACAATACAAAATATTTTGTTGGGTATTATAAAATAGGAATCAAGTTTAAAGTCTATGTTTCAAACTAAAACTAATCTATTTTATTTACAGTGCAAATTCTATTAGCTATTATGAGCATGACATGGGGTTGCTACAAATTACTTAAATGCATTCCGTAGAAAAAAATTATGCCATAATTAAAATACGTTTAGCTGCCACCTACTAACTTTATTGTAAGATCCTGACGCTTCAATAAATCCTGTCCAAGAAAAGTATGTTTGTAGCATTAGCAATGTAATTATCGCTAGCAGTATACCGCTCAGCTGGTTGTAAGTCATATTGTGTAAAACACCTTTATTATCAATTCCTGCCACCTAACCATGTGGTAAAGCGTCATTGTAGGTATAACAGTGATACATTATATCCAAAAAGCCTGCGTAGTTATTAAGTTTATTTTATTTCCATTTTATTTTAAGCCACAATTACCAATTTACTTTGTAGTTCTCGTTTTATTTTATTCCTCTCATTTTAGTTTTTTTAATAGCACGATATAACTAACTATACACCTATCGCAAATCTGGCAGCTCTGGCTCCCAAGATACAAGCACTGCTTAGCTTGGGACCCATTGTTAATGTTTTGTAGTTTGACAATATTTTGTATTAACCTTCATTACTATTTTTTTAACACATGTTTTGTAGCTTACGTTTGTATCTACTTAGATGTACAATAGTTTTGGCATAAAGCCAACTCCTAATCACATCGTCGTCGACCGATTATTTAGGAACGTTTTCCAGCTAAATTAGGGTCTTTTGTATTATTTAGTTTTAATTTAGCATTATTTCGATATCATGATACAGATATACAGCAAAGATTACAATACCAGCAGCATTCGGAACTTCAGTTAAAACCGAAGTACAACTTACATCCTGTTTATACATTTTATACTCTGTATACGATATGAGCGCTTTTTTATTTTCGTGCGACTTTATTCGTGTAAGTTTGTTAAACATTTTTCGTCCTAATATTTTAAAGCCTTTTTAAATTACATTCATGGATTGACTTTTAACTCAGCTTTGGGCCCTTATACCATATAATGACTCCTAAATTTTATTTTACAGAATTCTTTACAGCATATTTAGTTGTTGCTGTGATCAAATGTGCCTTAGGCCATCAATTTCAGTTTTATTGTAGTGTTTGAAAAGTATTGGACCAGGTATTTTCTGGCATACCTGACCACTGTTTGCATACCCTGTCGTCCACTGAAAACATACGTTTATTTGGTAAACTTCTCTTTTTTTTACAGTTAATGAACATAGACTTAACATCTCACAGTCTTTCCAAAGGCTTCTTTGGCTATTATTTAACTGACCTGTTATCACATCACTTTGAGAAATTGGTAAGTTTTGAGCATACTCTGTCTGAAATCTCTGTTCACGCTACTGCAGCCGCTACGCAGATGGTAAGTGGAGAAGTAGCAGTAAATAGTAAAGGCATTGGTTGATGAAAAGTGTGGTAACTTTGAAACCTTGTGATTAATTGATCACCCAGCCATCAGTGAATCGTCGAATAACGTGTGGATAAGGGGGCGTTTGCAAACTGATTTGTAATGAAATGAAGAAAATATTATTTTTTTTATCACATAATACTTTATTCGTTAAATTTAAGTTAAGACATATTGATGGAAATTTTTCACTGAAATCGTTTCACTAAGTATCATCACAAATTATAATACATTAATTCCTATCAAGCTCTGCACTCTTCGCACTATCCGTAATTCGGTCCATTACCCTAACGTACATGTTACGTACGATCTGTATCAATCTCCAACAGCTTTAGTGCAGAGCGACTCACGTCCCTGCTACCACTTATATTTATACATAATATGTATACGTAATTATTTTATAACTAACGCCAAATAGAGGGCAGATATACAAATATCAGTATAATAGTATTGTAAATTTTCTCCAAATTTCTTTCAACCTTTTCGAGGTGAAAACAAATAGATAAGAAAATATGGAAAGACAGATAAGTCTGTGGCTATACATACTAGGCAAAAACCTGTTATCACTAAAGTATCAGAAATTTTTAGATTTAGATTTCACTCAGTGCGGAGGTCTCTTAAAATTTATTAGAATAATTATCCATTATTGATGTGACCAAATAGAGGACTTCCCTAGTTCTTTATTGAAATTATTTCTATAATTTTTTTGACAAAGTTTGGACGAGCGGCCAATATAAGGGAGCTCTTACAGGACTTTATAGCTAAGCGAATCGGATCTTAACCAAATCACTGAAATTCCATTATAAAATGTATCACACATCTTAATATATTAAATTGTTTAATTACATGAATGCTATTGAAATATGTTTAGATAAATATATTGGTAAGTAATGATAAAAGTAACCATGGGCCGCGGCATTACAAAATTCTCGTTGATGGAGAATTAAAATGTAAATAATTACATAACAATATCAGGTTCTTCCGCGGTCCATGATCGAGTACATGATGTCGTTTTATTAAAATAAATATTACATTAGCTCTTAAGTACCTATCAGATCTTTTATATACCTTTACATATTCATAAGACCTAATTTGATATAACTGCAGAAAGTAAAAAGAAATGTTTCTTTTGGGGTAAAGTGAAACGTAAGCAAAACGGAAAGGAGCAAAAATAGAGTAAATTAATTTGTTAAGTGTTTGAACGGCGTGTTATCTAGTTTTTAAGAGCAACAACCACGTTTTTTTTAGTAATTTATTATCGAACCGCTCTAAGGACCAAGGCACTCACGTCGATGGTACCTGACCCTTTTTGTATTTAGCTCCCGGCGGTAGCTTACAGTAGCGATAGACGACAGGACTAAACAAAAGCGTAGTGGTGTTGTCTTAACAACTAGGTAATACAAGTTAGGAAAAAGAAATCGTAGTATCAAAGATGAGCGAAAATAAAAGGAATGAGACTTAAAAAATAATGAAGGAGGCAGGCGCATAACGTTGCAAAAGTATAAAGAAGCTCTAGTGTTAATTAAAACATATCCCCTCGTATCTATTGCACTGGATGTCCGGGGTCGTCATACAGTACCTTCATGTACGCTTGGTACATCATGTCAAACTCGACCGTGAAATTGTTGTATTTTTTCCTGGGAACAAAAACAATTTCGTTGGCCTTCGAAAACTTAGATAAATTATTCACATCCCGACGAAAACTCAGTAGGTGAAAAGTTATCACAAAAGAAAAGCGTTAGTTTCAGTTAGCAGAATTTTACAAGGAAAAGTTTAAGAGGCTTTCCGAAATTAAATGGTCTTAACAAGGAACTTATTAATAATGGGGTGACGAATAAAAAAATAGCTTCGAAAAAGCTTGTTTCGAAAAAAGATACCAAATGTATACAGAATATAAAAATTTTGTGTGGAGATGTCGGGGGCTTTACGTTTCAATTGGAGAATGACTGAATGAGAAAAATGTAAAAAAATGTTATTGGAAAATCCTTGAGACCGGAAAGTAGGCGAATGAAAGTTCTTAAAGTACTTACCCTGCAAATCTTAGAATGCGTAGCGCGCGCGGCTTGTTGCCTAGTGCGTTATAGCACATGGCGGCCTCTGCCAAAGAGTACGGTACAAGAAAATTGTCCACCCTTAGCATGCGTTTAAATCTGAAACAAGTAATAAAAACTGTTAGTGGCTATTATTTTATTATATATCTGTCCGAGTAGGAATTTTCTTAAGATAAATGTTATGAAGATTCCTCTATAACAAATAGGTAAGGAAACGAGATGCAAACACAGAAATAATGTTTATTCAAATAACAAGGAAGTACCTACAGTGTCGTACGATAAAACAATAATAGACAGATTAACCAGGAACCAAAATATTTCAAATCATATGTTTGCGAGTGGATATTTTCAAAACTAAATGAGATTCAACGTTTATCAGTTTTTAAGTTGAGACCATTTCTTTTGAAAAAACTTGGGAAAAAAGATTTTGTATTAGAATAAAATCAGAAAGAGAAAACAGTTCCGGGGAAAAAATAATCTAGCGGGGAAAAAAGAGAAATACTTAATAAAATTTTATTATATAATAATTATAACTTACTTGGTTACTTGATATAAGGGGGCTAGCGCCAGGCGATGCTTTCCCACGGCTGCGAGGCAGCAGCCGTATATATAAGAGAGTAGAATTCTATAGTCCACATCGAGGCAAGATGGACTTGCATAGGGCATCTGATGATGGAGGCGCAGGCAAATGTTCTCGATCAGCTGTACAAAAATGTAAATGAGCAATGTAATGAGCAATGAGTCCGAGGGCCTACTTTAATGTCGAAGAATACGTCACACGTCAAGGATGTGTGGAAATGACTCTTGATCTGCACTTATAATTACCCTCTGGATGCATTTTTTTTTTAAAAAGTGACAACAAGACAGCACAGTTTCTTTCCGATTCTTCTCTGGGCAGATCTAGTTTAGTGATCCGGTGGTAGTTTTTTTGCGGTTCAATAATATCGTAAAATAAGCTTATTGAAAGAAACGTTAACTTTTGAATTTGACTACCACTTTGACTGTGAATAAACTCATCGACTATAACATTAACACCTCAATTATAAAATAAACTCTTCAAATATAAATCAGTAGTACCCTTATCAAGATATTGTTGGCTCGAGGGTCACCCGACAGAGCTGAAACCACGTTCCACAGGCTCAATAGTTCAACTGATGATACCATCAGTCGGGTGCTGAAGATTTCGAAGTAGGCCACTTCTTCGGTGCCCCTCCTGTGGTACGCTAGAGATCTGCCAGCGATTTTTTTCGAAAACAGCGGTGCGGATCTAGAATCAAACGGAAATGATAGTATAAATAAAGCCAATTGTTATTTACTCAGCCTTGAACTCAGAATTTGAACTCAAGATGCTCGAGCAGAATTATATAAAACGTGCGCCCACACACTGAACAATAACGCTCCAGCAGTTAAAAATGTTGAATTAATTTAGTTCATACAAATTAGCACGCGTTGGATAAAGCTGTACTAGACTTGTTAAACTGAATGCAAAGAACTTAATAACTGTAATTGAGTTCAAATTATTGTTAAAATGTACCTATTTAAATTAATACTTTAATGTGGTTTTATTTGTAGACAATTGACTAAAAAATTGTTTTGTCCATCTGTCATTGCATTTGATTCAAAAGTATGTACGTTTAACAGTAACTCGTCTACTTACGCGTTCGACCACATAATCTCCCAAGAGCATATTTGTTGCACGTGGTGCAAATGGTCCGGCAAGTGGCTGGCGTGGCGATACATAGCAGCTGCAAAAGCGCAGTGGTCACGCAGAATTCTCAATCGGGGCTCTGATAGGATTATCCAACCACTTTCACGATAAATCTGTTGGTAAATTTTGGTGCGTTTGTAAATGACCGACCTCTTCAATCGCGGGGCACTTCCAGCGACGCAATATGAAGCGGCAAATGCTTTTGTTTTGTTATATCTCTTCTTTTTATAATATTGCTGAATATAATATTGCAGGAATGGGCATGGCCATCCGGGCAAGTACCACGTCCTCTTAGGACCGGCGTGAAGTGGAAGTGTTATACCTCATTGTTTCGTCTTGTGAATGAGGTAGCCGGCGCCCACTTTATTAAAAGGTGGCATTTGCAATCCTTTGTTGTTGCAAAAGTCCATGCTGGGCGGTTATCACTTAGCGTCAGGTGAAACGGCAGCTCATTTGCCACCATTTCACATAAAAAAATCTCTCGTAGTTTTACAATGTAAAACCTTTGAATTGAGTTAAAACGCAACTGCATTTACAACATATTCATACCTTGTGACGCCAATAGGGCATGGCTTCGAGTATTTTATAGAGGCAAATGGGCATTATGGTGCCCAACGCGCTGAACTTTCCAAGGTAGAAAAATGTTTTGATAAGGAAGACACTGTATTTGCTATAGTTGTAACAAATCAACTTTTCCAATACTTCGGTGCATTTCCTAAAAGGCGTAGAGAAAGCATTTTCCAAATCATTATGGTTCAGCATTTAATTAAGGTTTAACAGACAATTCATGTTAATTGTTTATTTTACAAAATGAAATGAATACAGAAAGAGCAGAGCGAGCTTAATATGATGTCGATTGCGTTCCATAAAATATTATCTGACTGGTTTGTGTATAATTTTGTTATATACGACTAGCTGACTCAGTAAACGTTGTTTTGCCATATAAATTATTTCTGGAGGATTCGGAACGCAAGCATAAAGTGTTTGACAGGTTACACAGACATAGTTGACAGGTTGACAGGTACAGTTTGTATGGGAAAATATATATATTGTTGAAAACATAATTTTTTTAAACCTTCCCTGGACTGCCACAAATGTTTCGAAACCAAAATTAGCCAAATCGTTCCAGCCTTTCTCGAGTTTTAGCGAGACTAACGAACGAGTTGCAATCCATTTTTATATATAAGATTATGGTAGCAATTTGTTTAGCTTTGTCTACTACTGGAAAAATGTATTGTTAACATAGTGTTTTACCAGGGTCTGGGTGTTTATAGATGTATAATCTGTATTTATTTACAAAAAAAATTATGTTTATCAGTTATCTAGTTGCTAAGTTTGGGACTAGAGAACGTTGTGTAAAAATGTGTCCTAAAATATTTATTTATTTATTTATAAAAACTTTGTCGAACTATCATAACCGATTTAGCTAAAGTAGATGATAAATTTCCACGGTTACACTTAAGCGAAAGCTTCTATTCTAATGTCTTGAACCTTCTGAAGTCTTACGGTAAATATACTTACATGTACTTATTGTAGTTGGTGTAGATGATGTTAGTCGCTTGCAGGAGTCCGACCAGCTCTTGGGCACCGAAAAGATGCTGGGCGGCCTGCAAGATTTTCGACTAGGCTTGGTACAACTGCATGTCCGCTTCATTTTCGGACATGCTCTCGTAGCTCACCTGGAAACCAAGTGTATGTGGTCAAAGGGTGCTTCAACAAGTAGTTGACTCAATGTCTCAGTAGATGTCAATCCGTGATAGTCCGGCGGCTCACCATGGCGTCGTAGTTGGTCTCGTCGTTGTAGAGCTTGCGCGAGGAACGAAGTGCCAAAAGCACATCTTCAATATCGTCCTTATCCAAGGGTATTATTGGCGGATAGTGGAAGTCGAATTCGTCCACATGCGTCCTGTGGTACTGTGACGTATGTGACCTGGAATTTCGCAAATTACCGATGCACAGATGCTTTTTAGGGTTCGTACACCGTACCCAGAGTTCTATAAGACTACTGTCTGTCTGTATGTCTGTCCGTCTGTCATCGGGCTGTATATTTTTTTATTGTGATAGTTGATAGTTGAAATTTTCACAGATGATGAATTTCTGTTGCCGCTATAACAACAAATACTAAAAAACAGAATAAAATTTTCATCTTGGGCTCCAATACAACAGGAATTATTTTTTTATAATGGTACGGAACCCTTCGTGCGCGAGTCTGACTTGGCGGGTTTAATATTTGCCAAATTCAAAAAACACACACAGTCCGGTGATATCCAAACCAACGTCTCCAGTATATCCGTAAGTATTTAATCATTGTGTGGCAAATTGTTTACTCACCACGCCCTTAGGGTTACTATCGCGCCCATTACATCGTTGGTAAAAAACTTCTTAAATCTAGTTTTGCACTCGTCGAGTGTGTCTTGCAGATTGACAGACATCTTGAGCCTGAAAACACATTAACGGATCATTATAACAGCGTGACACTAATACAAAAAAAAATTGAAATTTCATATCTACTAAAAATGATTCTGGGACGCACATATAAACCTCTTGGGATGTTTGACAAGCGAAAATATAACAGAGCTCAAATGAAAAAAACCCAACATGATCGTAAAAAATTTAAATTAAAAAAAAAAATATTTTTAATGAAATTAAATATGAACTGTTAAATTAAACTATTTTATGGATTATTTCGCGAATATAGTATCATTTAACTAATAATATTTAACTAATAAATCAATATGTTAAATGTTAATTCCAAACAAAAACTCAATTACACATTAAATTATACCTCTGTAAACTCCGTATAAAAATGTTGTGTGCTCCTGTAGCCTTTGGCTTTATTCTTCCCTTCGCCCGTTCCCAGTTATCTTGAAAAAATGTTTTCATTTAGATTGCATAATTGTAATAGAAGTAAATTATAAAAAAATATGTGATTCCTCCATCTGGTCAAGCTCCACGTGATTGTGTAATACAAAATAGTGCTACAATGGCGTCATCCGCCATATTCCTTTCACAAAATGGCGGATGACGCCATTTTGATTTCATAGAATGGCGTCTAATTATTCACTAGATATTGATCGGACTTGGCCCAGGGCCGTAAGCTGTGTAGCGCATGCGCTATGAACTCATGCACTGCCTCATACCCAACCAAGAAAACGCCCGCACCATAGACACCCCAACCCACTCCCCTACACTCTCAGATAGAAATGTCCAAAGATCGAAAACATACGACTTGACAGCCAAGAAGCTAAGTCTTCTAACTTTTTTAATCGGAAAACGTTTTGGAATAACAATTAAAGAGAATAAATTGTCTAGCGAGATTATAGGCAACAGTGATCGCAGACTAGATGAATATTTACAAAACCCATGTACTTCACATGCGTCAACCACATATAAAACACCGCTTAGAGTACAAAAGCTCAAATTGGAAAAATTCAACAAAACTAATATTAGTATACACGTGTGAGTTATGCAGGCTAAAATTTGAAAATTATTTCTTAAGTATCACCGAATCGCTTTTGTAACACAGAGGGTAGTGATGACTAGCACCAGAAATAAAAAGGGACTAGCTACCTGGGCAAGGACCAGGTGCATTAAGCGGACGTGCGGACTGCTCCGTACCAAATCTAAGACTGTACATGTACCCTGGAGTCAACCACCCTCTCTAAACCTTATTGAACCCCCTCCATACGGTTCACCCTTCCTCCCCTAACCCCACCTAAGGGGGAAAGGGTAGATACCCTTTCCAGGCATAAGGCGGAAAGGGTAGATACCCTTTCCAGGCATAAGGCGGAAAGGGAGGATATTAATGCCCCCTTATAACCTGTGCAACCCTCCTCACACCCCCCACTGAACCCAATTGGTAGCGCTATGATTTGTGTGCAACAATCCGCCATCTTTATTTCTTTTCTATGCAATTTATTTGGCGTCCAACACGATACTACGCATCACGAAACAATCGCCAGACGAACATAAAATATTGGATACCTTATGCATACGCGAAAAGTAACAGTTTAAAACAACTACATTGTAAATTGCAGTGTCGAATAAAAATAAAAGTGACACATTCATAGCAACATAATAAATTATTATATACGTATATGTGATTAAAAATCGCAATGCTTACGAATATAAATAATTGAGTCACTATAAATCTCACCGGGCCGTTTACGCCTTCGCATTTATACACAAACGTATGTATGATAAGAGAATAATATAAAATTAAATTGCACGGTAAGAAATCGCTGAGCGCTGAACGAACTCCCCCGAGTTCGCTGACCGGGGACATGGGAGCCAGGAGAGCCACTGCTAATAAGCAGCAAGCCTCCTAGCCCCCAGAGGCAGACCTGGTCTGTGGCTCCGCCGCTCACTAAGTTTCGGTCGCGGAGGGTAGGGAGAGCGGCGCATCGCAATACCTCCTCTCCCCCCGCGGACCCCCACCACTGCATCAGCGGTGCGGCACCGCCGAGTCGCGGAGGATAGGGAGCGCGGTCAACGCTATAACGTCACTCCTCTTCCCCCGTGACTCTTCTCGGTAGCAGAAGACAGGGAAAGTGGCCCCACTTCTACCAGCCTCGACATGTCCCCTGCACCCTCCAGCACGCACCCAGAGTGGGCTCAATGAGCCCACTCGGAGCGGCACTCTCATGTAGTCCTCGCCGTGGGTGACCAAGCCACGGCTACTAAGCCCCTCCGCCACGTCAAGGCGGGAACCCGGTCATAGGGGCCAAACTACTCCTTTCCTCACCAAAAACTTAAAAAAACCGTGCTAAAAGAATGAAGAAGTGACTAAAAAATTAAAACTAGAAATGAGAAACGAAAATGATTAATAACAAAGAAAAAAAAAACAGCAAAAAAGGTTGACACTACTTTTGATACATATTTAAAAAGGAAAATAAATAACCATTAGATATCTTACCGAAATGATTTGATTCGTAAGTAATAACGGCAGCAACAACATGAACTTCGATTTATATAATTATTTAACCAAGTACCGCGAATACAAACTGACCTAAAGTTGACACATGCGCCATGCATCGCGGTCCTATAACTTCCTTTCAAAGACCCCTCTTTGATTTATTCACAAGTTATCGATTAACTTAATCGAATGAAGGATTCCGACACATTAAGAAGGACTTGCAAATACTCTTAACACGTGGAAATAATGCACGATGCAAATACTTTTGTCTGTTAGCACTTATCAAACGAATGCATTCAAAATGTTGAGTATACAGTATCGATACGAGATCTCAATAATAAAGGACTCACCGGATTTCTGGATCACTAGCTCTATCGGATACTACTCAGGATGGAAAGGAACTGGGCTACGCGATTTCAAAATCCGCCACTAACTGCGACGTACGATAGAACAATGCAGTGAACGCCCATGGCATTTGGGTTCTGTACTTGCACAGTGCGCATGTCCGCGCTTAGACCAGACGTCCATACGCTAATGTGTCTCCGCGCTGGTGCAAAGGGGACGCTGGAACGTTCTAGACCCCACAGGCTACTGAGCCTTATTGCTATACAGCATAAGGCGAGCTCCATCCATCAATAAACAAACCTTTGTTACTTGCTTGCAAAGGTCGAAAGCGAAAAATAAAGTTTTATTATCCAAGGTAACCTTTGTTACTTGCTTGCAAAAGTCGAAAGCGAAAAATAAAGTTTCATTATCCAACATGATAGAAAACGAAACTTAATTTTGCCACTTGTTTTCTAAACTACAATTCTATCGCATCTTGTTTAAAAATTTTCCATGTACTAATTACGCAGCGGAGGATCTTATATAAAAAACTATTTAATTTAAAAAATAGTATTTAATAAATGGACACATAAAATTCCTTGACTAAGTTTTATTTTGAATTAAGTCACTAAGAGCTGTCCAAACGGTCCGAAGTTAGGATGACGATAGACGCCGCGCTTGGGTGATGGTCGATAATATAAAGGTGCAATATACAACAGCGATTGGGGATGTAATATACATATAAATTCTCCGAAGTATTGGGTTTGAATTATGAAGGGCAAATAACGTTCAAATCAAAATGTTTTTTAGGCCAACTCTTCTAATTAAGTAAACTTAGCTACTGATTTAGTGTCAGACAATAACTGTATGCATTTAAAAACTCAATATAGCAAAACTCGTGTGTTATAAAATCGAGTTACTTCCATCCAAAAAAGAATTGCTTAGCATTGAATGAAATATGTAATAAGTTCAATCATTACAAAAAGCTTTAGGTGTTAAAATGTATTGGCAACAGTATCGTCTGTAAAATTCTAGAAGCGCTATTAGCCCTAGCGCGGAGATGCATTTGCGTTTGGTCGACTGCGCGGGCTAGGGGGTGGTTGGCAGACGTATTGATTATACTCACCCCATCGTTGCTATGGACTTATGGGAAGGGGGCCATACACCGTTTACTAGTAGGGACACTATATAGCAACGTAACTCTAGCATCCGAAAAGTACAAGGTTTGTTGTTAATCTTTTGTTACGTCTCATATGTTATTTGATGGAAAATTTAGGAGCACTATGTACGTAAATCATAGTTCTAATTTTCATTTGTTAAAAACACAAATTGGCGTATATTTTAATATGGGGGGAAGAGGTGGGATTGGAAGAGGGAAGTAAACCTTTTATCCTTGTCTGGCGTCGTTATCGAGGCGGTAAACGAGGCTGCAGCATCCCTGGATATTTTAAACCAAGATTTCAGATATCCGGTTTAAACATACTAGATATATCTAACTCGTGGTTATGACAGCTAGTTTAATTAATGTTTTTATACTATTAAAGAAATTAGAGATCCTTGGAGTTAGAGGAACTCAGTTGGAATTATTTAAGAACTATTTATGTGTTCAAACACGATTTGTTAAGTAGGTGAATACACAAGTAAGGAGAGAAAATTAAGTACCTCAAGGGAATGTTCTTAGCCCAAAACTCTTTCTCATCTACATTAATGACATAGGTATGCTCTCTCTTCCTAAAGGCAAAATTATCACTTTTGCTGATGAGACAGTACTATTGTTCAATGGTGGTGCCTGGTCGGAGGTCTTTAAAAATTCTAAAATTGGTTTCAACCGTTTCGAACTTACTAAGAAATAATATGGTTAATGCAGAAAAGACTAAGTACATGACTTTCACAATAAAAAATACTACTCAAAATTCTAATGAATACTATGCTTACTAATATTATAAAAGCGAAAGTTTGTATGTATGGATGGATGTTTGTTTCTTTTTTACGCGAATACTACTGAAAGGATTTTAATGAAACTTTACATAGCTAATACATCACAATAACACATAGGCTATAATTTTGAAAGATATTGTGTGAATTGTCCAAAATAAAGTGTCAAGTAATAGGGGAAAAAATCCGTCATCTGCGCTATTCTGGTGTGCGCTGCAAAAACCGTTAGAGTTCCACGTATATAATGTATAATGGGAATATTTATCTTAAAAATAAAAATTAAATAGTCCAAAAGTAAAGCCCTCCACAGTATATATCTATCGTTTATGTGTAAGCCGTTATCGTCAAAACAGTGAACCATAAATGTAATACTGGTAATTTATTTGTAACTAGCTGCTGCCCCGAAGGCGTAACATTCAGATAGAAACACAGATATAGATAAAATATGTATATAGGGCCACGTAGCAGCCTCTGTTGCACGAATGAGCGGGCCGGTCCGGGTAAGTACCACGACCTCACAGAAGACCAGCGTAAAGTGGAAGTATGACAAATACTTTTGCGTTTCGTCTGGTGAGTGAGGTAGCCGGAGCACAATTTTCAAAAGGTTGTTAACGCATCTGTTAACCTCGGGTGTAGCAGATGTCCATGGGCGGCGGTATTCACTTACCATCAGGTGAACCGTCTGCTCGTTTGTTAACTTTTCACATAAAAAAAGTAAAAGTATTATAGGATATGTTAAAACCATTTTGGAAATTTCTGTCTGTCAATCTGTCTGTTCACTTTAAACTTCTAAACTATTTATCAAATTTTGATTCAGTTTTCGCTGGTCACTTAGGCTAAGCTTGGGGCGACATATGTGCTTTGTTTCATCGCAATCGGTTAACTCAAAATTACTACATGAGAGTACAAAGAATCAAGCAGTCTTAGTCAACTACTGGATCAATTCTGTCGGTGTTTTGTAAAGTATATGAAGATTACTTCCGTGCAATATTAAAGCTTTGTTTCATTGAAATCGATTTATTCAAACGGAAGATATGCGAGTTCTCGCGAGCCCCATGATCGATTTGTACGGGGTTTTTGACAGCGTGTCAGTATAACTTCCTCGCAATATTAAAGTTACGTTTGATCGCAATAAGTTCACTCAAACAGAAGATATAAGTATACGCTACAAACTGCTGAATCAGTATAAACAGTTTTGAATTTTTCGAATGAAATAGCTTCCAAAAAAAAATAACTGTCATACAAAATGTGCTATCGGGCAACTCAAGATCTGTCCCGAAAACCTCAAAGAGAGCAGGCGTTTTGTCCCTGCCGATAGATACACAACAAAATAACAAAAAAATACCTGTCGCTTCTCTCATTTTATGAGTAGTTAGTCAAACTTTCACTTTGGTCAAAAGGGTTTTTTAAAATAAAAATTACAATACGTGTTGCCGATTCGGAGGCAGAATATAATGTAATGAATATTCAAGTGCATTTTTCAATTATCTCTCTCACAAACAAGTCTGTGAATCACATCGTTATCTATAATACTATGAACTGCCCGGTGGCCATGCTAAGTCAGCGAAACAGTGCTTTACTAATCTAAGTTAGAGGGCTGGGGTGGATGCATAACTCCTCCCTCCCCGAGACCTAAATTATCTGGTTGTTCTTGATTGTCCTTTCTCGTTCGATTTCGCCTAAACGTAGAAATTTTATTTCTTAACACATAAAATAAGAATAATAAAATACAAGTAAATACTTACAACAATATATGTAAATACGTTAACATAAACTAATACTACACTTATGTTAGAGTCTATTTTCTCGAAATTTTCTTTCACTATTTCACTTTGTCTCAATTGATTAGCCATATGTTTCACTTCGTCTAGGTTAGCTCCCTGCATATTAAGTGTACGTGCACCGGATAGTGTCGCATGTGGAGTAGTCACGGGCAGCTGCGGTAAGTTTACAATTTCGATTGATCCCAGAGGTTCATTTTCAGTGAGTGTAGAGTGATGATGAATTTTAATTCCTTTGATCTCAACATCACAAGGCTCATTGATGTTCATGATTATAGTCCCGACGATAGGATGCTTGCTCATTTCATCACTGCAGGTTTTTGTAAGGGTAGTTTTGAGCCTTGAAAATAATATCCAACTTGTGGGTGCTATTCTTGGAATTTTGACATCTTCAATGCTTATTGGGTGTTGTGTGCAATATGTGATGTTACCTCGAAATGTTATAAGGTGTTCAAGGCATGTTGGTTAGGGATAATGCGCCAGGTTATTTTCAGCACACAGGAACTGGTCTTCATCAGCACGTGATTTACATGGTTTCACGATCGGCAAGTACTTCACACCCTTTGTTTTAGCAAATTATTATATAATTATTATTATTATATATTATTATTATTTTCTTAAAAGTTTTATCTTCTCAGCTCTGCTGGTTTTACGTACATTCACGGACCAAAGTCAAGTGAATGCAGCAATGTGGTGTATTTTTCATGTTGAGGATGTGTTCTCATCTAACTGCATGAACTTCCTTACGATTCTGCAAGTGTTTAAAATAACGGCTTTTTGTAGAGTTATGAATAGGGAATCTTCTAAATCAATTAATTTTAGGCTACGGAGAAGATGATTGGGGATAACACCGGTTGTTGAGAGAACTATAGGAATTACAAAAACTTTTTCTTGTCTCCAGATTCTAGTTACTTCTTCTTTAAGATCTGTATATTTACTTACTTTTTCAGCTATTGTTTTTTGTAAGTTGTGGGTGTTAGGAACTGCAACATCTATAAGGTAAGTGATTTTTTTTATTTTATCCTGTAGGGTTATGTCGGGTCTATTATATTGGATGGTCCTATCTGTTAGTATGGCGCGATCATAATAGAGTTTGTGTGTGGAATTTTCTAGAATAGTTTGTGGAGTGTATTTATAGTAAGGAGTGTTTGTGTTGTGTATGAGTTTGTGTTTGAGCGCCAGTTTTTGATGAATGATATTTGCTACCTGGTTGTGTCTGTGAGTGTAGTCAGTTTGTGTCAGTGTTGTGCATGCTCCTGTTATGTGTTGTATAGTTTCTGATTGAATGTGGCATCTGCGACATTTATCGTTTATAACTGTAGGGTCTTTGATAATATATTTCCTATAGTTTTTAGTATTGATGATTTGGTCTTGAATTGCTATTATGAATCCTTCGGTTTCTGGGAATAAACTTCCTATTTTAAGCCATTTATTT